GGGGGGGGGGGGGCGCGACACGGACGGGACTCTCGGGTGCAGCCCCAGGAAAGGCGGGCGGTGGAGGAACTGAGTGGAGACTGAGGAAGGTCGAAGGTCGCCAGGGAGGGCAGAGAACCGGTCGGGCTGCTGGAAGCCAGCAGCTGTGTGGATGAGACGCGCGGAGGCCTCTCCGTGGCGTGGTTTCCCCGTAAATGCCGTTATCCCACTGACTGACTGCTCCACGGAGGGTAGCCGGGCGCTTCTTTTTGGTTGATTATTTAAATTCCCGGTGGCATCTTTATGTGATTAATAGTTTGATAATATTCTAGAAACCTGGTAAGTACTGCTGTTAGTTTGGGTCACCTAATTGGTAAAGTGTATAGTGTGCCTTGTCGAATTACCTCATTCAAACCTGGTTCTATACTGTTTGTTTTGCATTTTTCTCTAAAATGGTATCTTCATGGAGTAAACATTTTCCATCATCGGATTAGTCCAGGTTATTTCCAGATGGGGTGATTTGGAAGTAAAATGTCTTAGTTTTATTGTAACTGCTCTAATAAGATACTGTTTCTTGTATAAATAATCAGGTACTTTAGGCATTTTAACTTGCAAATTTAGGACAAATTGCTTTAAGATTTTTTTGCTTTTCAAATTAATCCCTGGGATGTGATCTAAGTATAACAGTTGCCTAAAAACCAAAACCCACAATAATGGTCACCAAAGGGAGGGATGAAATGCTAGGACCGTCCTGGTATTTGCACCTGAACGTCACACACTAACTTCCCACAGTTTACGGTGACTGTGTCTATGGATTGCTGGTTTTTATTGCATTTTCTGGTTGCAGTTTTGGCCCACTGGCCAGGCTGCTCGTAGGAGAGGTTACAGGACCTTCTGGAAGGTTAGGTGACCCATTCTCCCTCCCGGGGGCTGATCTCTGCTAGGCGAACGTAATCCGCAATAGCTGCTTACGGTGTTCACGTTCGAGTTCGGTTGACTTTCATTTTATTTGGTGTTATAATTGTAGTGCCTAAGTAAATGTCGATGTCATATAAGCCTTGGTTTTTGATGTTTCATTGTACTGATGAAATATTTAATGTAAATTGTAGCTGCAAACGGTTAAGTGTAAAGTCACTGTAAGTGATAAGCTTATTTTCCCTAACCTGAAGCAGTGTGTCCTAAATTTCCACACGTCTGCATTTGTTTTTTGCTCTCCTGAAATTCCTTAGTTGCTGGCTTTGACCTTTTATGTTGCTGAGTTTTACACATCTGTTTTCTCACCTGCCATATCCTAGGGGGCTTGGAGTACCCATAACACAGTGAGCCCGCCTTCCTGGTCCCCAGACATTTCAGAAGGTCGGGACATTTTTAAACCCAGGCAGCTTCCTGGCAGTGCCATTTGGAGCATCAAAGTGGTAAATAAAATCGCATTTACATTCATGTATCATTTCTGTCTGCTTTTCTCCGAGTAGAAGAATCGAATCTTTCCTTTCTCACTAGTTCAGCTACCAGAGCCATGCTTTTAACCTAAAACTTTAATCATGAAGCAGCAGCGTGCTTGCACTTAAAACATGAATTGGGAGGAAATTAAATTGCAATTTTACGTGTCTGATTTTCAGTGTGAATTTTAATGCCCTTTTCCGCAGTTTCTTTTATGTCGTCATTAGCATTATCGGGGGAAACCCTTGTCGCACAGGCTGGGCAGCCGTTAAGGACTTGGTTATTTATTCGGACACCATAAAATCCTGTTGCCTGGAAGAGACTAAAAGAAAAGCGACACTAGGCTGTTACTGTGCTAATTGATGCAGAGGAAATGCCAGGACACAGCAGATTTTATTGGCTGCGTTACCCTCAAAGTCACAGGGCCCCTTTTCCGTGCCCCGGCCACTCTGCTAGCCCTTGAAGTACGTTACGTTGTCTGGTGCATTTTGAAGGGCAGAAAATTAACTTGAAAAATTGTTAACCGTTTGAAAAGTCGAAACCTTTTGCTGGCTGGAGGACAGCTTGCCGTGGTCCCCTGCATTCGCTGTAATTCTGGGGCGAGGTGGTTCAGGTTCAGAGGAGCTGCAGAGGCCACTTTATTTCCGACCAGCGTTGGAAGAACTGGTCTTTGAGCTCATTCTGATGTCATGCAAGGTGCTGAAACTGTAAACACTCGTTTTCAGAGTATAAAAGATGACTCTTTGACAGTTTTGAAGCAAGTACCACTGATTTTCTTATTCTTACCTGTGTCATTGGATGTTGGGGAAAAATAAACGGAGATTATTAGAGTCTTGATTTAATCACTCACTTAAAGAAAACGGGTTTCCTACCTGTTAATGAAAGGACTAGAAGAAACGGTCCAGTGCAGCCCTGCGGTCCCTTTGGTCAGAGAAGCTCAGGGGACCCAAAGGACAGCGGTTTCAGAGGATGGGGGGGCAGTTTGAAAATTGGTAGGTGGCTGTGCTATTAAAACAGACGGAGAAGTAGACAGCCCCCTTCACTCGTGTGTATGAGTCTTACACTCACGATATAATCAATTATCGACTTGGAAAGCGTTCTGCCAAATAGGTACTGAGTTCAGCATTTCACGCTGTGATGAGGGACATCAGTTGAGCACAAGGTACACTATTTAGCTTGTTAGGGAAAAAACAGCAAAGGATTTTCCTGAGTATTTTCATAATTTTCAATATATATATAAGGATATGTAGGTGCCAGGTTTTTTGAGGTAGTAATAAGTCTGAGTATAAACAAGAACAAAACCCCCACAACACGTAACCCTAGTACTTTAACTTGTTAAAATATTGGGGAATTTAACGTGTTTTCCCATAGAATTTTTTTCTCATGTTGGGTAAAAATTCCGATAAGTTATTTCCGTTTTAAGTCCTCAGAGATGATTTAAAGCAAGCCTTTCCCCCCTCCCCGGTTTTCCTGTCTGTAAAAAACGCCCCTCTAAGTACTTTGAGAGAGAGGCCACGCGTTCAGCCACACAGACACCCGAGGGATTGCGGGACGGACGGACAGTTCTCCGGCAAGGAGCCGCGCGGGCGGGCTCTGGGGGAGGCGGCGGTTCAGGGTAGTGGCTCAGAGCCCGACCCGCCGGCCCTGCGACCTCGCGTCGCTCAGCGCACTTGTCTCGAGTGGGGCAGAGCAGGACTCGGGAGGCTGTGAGAGGGACACGCGCCGCGAGCTGCCCACGCGTCCCCCGGACGTGTGCGCTCTTAGGACCACGATTACCCAGAGGCCGGGGAGCCAGAGGCGCTCCCCACGCCCCCGCACACCGAGTACAGGTGTCGCATGTGCACGTACTGGGGGCCCTGGGCGTCCTTAGGCACCTGGAATGCAGGACGAGGCCGGGGGGAGTGAGGCCGGGGCCTGCGGGTGCCAGGCACACGCACCGACAGACCCAGAGTTTTGATTCTCAGGTTATAGGCACTTTATGTCTTTTTTAATTTGCAGAATACATATTGAAAGATAGAAATACACAGAATATATTGAAAGACACAAATAATAATCCTGGTCTCAATATTTGATCAGAATTAAAAGAAAGAAGCAGCTCTTTGTGTAACATTTAATAAGATGTTTTATCTCCCACTTGGGTCTTAAATTCTCTGGGGCTTGTACCGAATGCTGACTTTTCCTTGTCTGTCCTGTAGGGCCGAGGGTCGGGGTTCCCAGGGAAGCGGAGGCCTCGCGGTGCAGGACTGTCGGGCCGGGGCGGCAGAGGCAGGTCCAAGCTGAAAAGCGGAATGGGGGCTGTCGTGCTGCCCGGGGTAAGGCTCCCTCCTTCTTACGTTCACTCTGACCCTCCACACGTCCACTCTCCACGCTGGTCTCATGGGCAGCAAATTATGTAGATGCTAAAATTGTTAATTTTACTGTATCTCTACTGTGCTTTTTAAAAAACACACAAAAAACCCACAAACTTCTGGTCAGGTTTTCTACTTTCTTACCTTTTTTCTCTTGCCTTCCGTTTTGATTCTGTTCTTTCCATGCCGATCCTCCCCCCAAATCCAAATGCAATATATTTTCTTTATTATTTAAAAAAGGGCGAACGCCTGTCATAGTCTTGTTTAACTGAAAAAGCTCTGTTGGCCTTTTGAGTTTTCGGTGTAGCTGCTCTCAGCGTTGTAAAGCGGTTCACGGAAGAAACGCGAGGTTGCAGGTGAGCACCGACCCTGAGATGTGAAGGACTTTGTGACTCTCTCACATTTTTAAGATTGACAAGTATTTGCTGATTGACACACGATGAGGCTTTATTTACAGGTGTATTGAAAAAAACTATTTGGCAAGTAATGTTTCCCGCAGTAACTATTCTCCCCAAATTCTGACTTTCAAATTTTAGTTTTTGTTTTAAGATCAGGAGACAGGTGGGATTGTTTAATTTTACTACAGAAGGAGTCAGGGGACACGGGGCCCGGTCCTTTTTTAAGAAAGCAAATTCATTTCATTTCTTAACTGAGTCTTTTGTAGACCAGATGCTTTCATTTCGACAGAGCCTGATTTATCTTCCTCCGTGGATTGTGCTTTGGGTGTCTGAGAAATGTTTGCGTAAACCCAAGGTTATGAAGGTCCTCAGTGTTGTCTTGTGGAAGTTCTGGAGAAGTTCTAGGTTTCGCATTTAATCTCTGATCGCGTTCGAGTTAACTTTTATGGCGGCTGTGAGAACGGGTCAGAGTTTACTTTTCGGGACACTGAACATCCAGTTGTTCCAGTGCCGTTTTCTGAATTGCCTTTGCATTGTTTTGAAAATCAGGTGTCTGTCTGTCTGTGGATCTAATTTTGGAATCTCTTAAAGTTTCCTCGGTCATTAGGCTAGTACTGTGCTCTCCTGATTTCTTACTCGGTAACTGCTCTTGAAATCAGACACCGTGAGCCTCCTGGTTTTCTACTTTTTAAGTTCTCTTGGATGTTCTAAGTCCTTCGTGTTTCTGTGAGAATTATAAAATCAGCTTGTCAATTTCTACAAATCAGTTCGGTGGGATCTTGGTTGGATTTGCATTCAAACTACAGATCAGCGTGGGGGAAATGGACGTTTTAACCATATTGAGCCTTTTACCCCATGAACTTTGCGAATCTCTCCATTTCTTCAGGGCTTTAATTTCTCTCAGTGACGTTACTTAGTTTTCGACACACAGGTTTCTCTCCCCGTTTCGCAGATGCGTTTCTAAGCCGCCCGTATCTTTCATGCCGCTGTAGACGGCAGCGGGATCTCAATTTCATAGGGTGGCTGTGGCTGCTGGTACCTAGAAACAGCGCTCGTTTCCGCGCGCTGACTTTGCCTCCTACAGCCTCGCTAGCTCCCTCGCCGCTTCCCCTTGCTGATCTGTAGAGTTCATTGGGTGTTGCACACACGCAGTCATGCCGGCAAACAAAGGGTTACGTCCCTTCCGCCGGGAGCCTTCCTGATTCCGTGTTGCGCCTGCGATGCCAGCAGCACAGTGCCGCTGGACCTGGCGAGGTCGGTGGCCTTGTCTTGTTTGGATCCCGGGGAGTCAGCGCTGAGTCTTTCATCACAACATACGGTGTCGGCTCTGGTTCTGTTGTGTTTTTCTTAGTCGACGCCCTGAGTCAGTGTGAGGACCCCGCTGTCCCTTCGTACCTTGCTGACGTTTTTCTGTGTGCGAATCGGGAGTAGGCGTTGGAGTCTCCAAGGTCGTCTCCGCATTTCTGCAGACAGTCCTACGGCTGCTTTGCCGACGCGGTGAACGACATCCGTCGGCCTTCTGCGCGCCGACGCCGCCTTGCGGCCCTGGGATAAACTCCCCGGTGTTCTGTCTGTCCCGCGTCCCTAGGTGTCCGCGGCCGATGCCTCGTCGAGCAGGGACGAAGACGAGAACTCCATGCACAACACGGTGGTCCTGTTCTCCAGCAGCGACAAGTTCACTCTGCATCAGGTTTGCACCCCCTGCGCGCGGTTTCCACTCCCGACCCCCGGCCCGTTTCCCCCCTACGCCCGCCGAGGCCACCTGATGCCTAGCGCTGGAGCTGTGTTAGCAAAGAAGGTGCTTTGAAAATGTCATCAAACGTTCGCCTGGTGCCTCATTTGAAAGGCGCCCGCGTGCTCCTCGTTTCAGGACATGTGCGTGGTCTGCGGCAGCTTCGGCCAAGGCGCGGAGGGAAGGTTGCTGGCCTGCTCCCAGTGCGGGCAATGCTACCATCCATACTGCGTCAGTATTAAGGTAAACACGCTTACGTTTAAGTGACGTAACACAGTTGCAGTTGAATTTGATTGTGTTTGATTTGGGTAGAACCCCGCTTCCAGTTCCTAGAATTACTGAAACACTGTCGGTAATTGTACGTACGTGACGACACTTAGATGCTTTCAGTATTGCCTTTCAGGTTTTACCTGAAGAAACTAACTCGGTAAATCTATTGTCTTTGAATTGTAGCAGTTATCCTGCTATTGTCTTGAAAAAAGGTAAAACATAAAAAGGCATACATTTAATTTAAAAGATACTTCATACTGTTACTTCTAAGGCCTGAGTTTAGTTGATACATCCTGTTTATTAATTATAAAAGTTGAGAGTATTTCATAAAAAGTCTTAGCCCTCCGGGCCTCTCCCCGCGCTCCCTCTTCTCAGCCTGACCGTGTACCCGGGGTGCTCCGTTAGGCTCCGTGGGCCAGGAGGTTGATGTTTTTAATCAGTTGGGTCGATCTTGGCCATATTTCTTCAAAATTTTTCCTGTTTCCTTTGCCTCCCCCCCTTTCCAGAATCTCACTTTGTGTGTGTTTGTGGGAGAGAAACTGCATGACATTCTCCCCTAATTACTGACACTTTGTGCCCCCCCCCGCCCCCGTTTTTCTCTGTGTTGTACTTTGTATAGTTTCTATCACATTTCCCAAAACTCGCCGCTGTTAGGTAGCGTGTAACCTAGTTGAAGCCCAGCCAGGGGATTTTTCAGGTAACTTTATTCTTTAATCTCAGTTCCATTTTATCGTTTATCATCTTGTAGTTTTGAATTTAAGTTTTTCCCTTCGCGTCTTTGTGTTTATATGGCACTTCTCCCTGTATGAACTAATCTTCCTGCTCGTTTGGAGATGTTTTCCTGCTGCTTTTCGCATCTAGTAGATTTTGATCGAACGTGGACATTGTGCACTGTGATAGTATATTGAAGGGAGTCGGGATTTTGTTCCTTTAAAACACATTGAGCCTTTTTGTGTCAGGCAGTTATTTGTGGGTAAGTTTGAACCTTTCGAAGCTTCTCTTTAAGCTTCCTGATGTCCTTCTGGAGAACCTTCAAGATAAGGTTGCTGTTCTTAAACGTTTTGGTCTGAGAACCCTTAACACTCTTAAATATAAACAAATTAGAATTTTTGTTTATGAGGATAATAAACATTGAATATTTTATTTTAGAAATTAACTGGGAATATTTTAAAACCCAGAAATAAACAGGCACAGCTTGTATGGTGTCAACGTAATGATCGTCAGCCTCTGCAGAACTCACTGAGTGGATCGGCCTGGGTTGATGTATAAACCACGGGGGCCGGCTGTTTCTCTTCCAGATCACTAAAGTGGTTCTCAGCAAAGGTTGGCGGTGTCTCGAGTGCACCGTGTGTGAGGCCTGCGGGAAGGCGACGGACCCTGGGAGACTCCTGCTGTGCGATGACTGCGACATCAGTTATCACACCTACTGCCTCGACCCTCCCTTGCAGACGGTTCCCAAAGGAGGCTGGAAGTGCAAATGGTACCCGGGGTTTACGTCTCCCGTTCATCCTCAGGCTCAGAACTTGCCCGCGCTACTGCTCTTTTTAAAATCAGCCGTGTCTGCTTAACTGCGTAATGCATGTTTACCATGATAGATATCACGAGTCAGAATTTTCAACTGTGAGTTAAATAATTTCCCCTCCTGTGCTCACGCGTAGCTTCTTGAGTTATACTCGCTGAACAACTAAGTAAAATTGCGACTTGGGGGGACGTTGGCTTTCAGGTGCGTTTGGTGCCGACACTGCGGCGCCACGTCCGCGGGCCTGAGGTGCGAGTGGCAGAACAACTACACGCAGTGCGCGCCCTGTGCCAGCCTGTCTTCCTGCCCCGTCTGCTGCCGGAACTACCGGGAGGAAGACCTCATCCTGCAGTGCCGGCAGTGCGACAGGTACTGTGCGCGCCCCGCTCGGAGCCGGGCGGAGCGAAACGAGCACAAACGGTTGTTAAATTTAAGAAGCAGCTTTGCTTTCCAGATGTGTAGTCAGCGAGAGACCCAGAGAAGTTTCCAGTTTTGTCTTCTCAGTTCCAGACTAAAGATTTCCCCCCATTCATCCTCACCTGAGGATATTTTCCCATTGATTTTTAGAGTAGAAAGGGCAGGGGGGGAGGCAGAGGCGTCAATGTGAGAGACACACATCGATTGGTTGCCTCCCACTCTCACCCCAACTGGGGCGGAGGTTGAACCTGCAACCCAGGTATGTGCCTTTGACTGGGAATCAAACCCAAGACCCTCCGGTGCCCAGGCCAACACTCTAACCACTGAGCAACACTGGCCAGGGCCAGGCCAGAGATTTTTAACTTGGGCCTTTTTGAGGGTTTATAAATCCCTTGAAATTAGATGCAGCCAAATCATTGTCTACATATATGCATTTTCCTAGGAGGGTTTCTGAATGTTTTATTAGATTTTGCAAAGGACTGCATACACTCTGTTTTCTTTAAACCACTTTTTAAAGCTCTCGACACTAACTCTAGATATTAGGTTCCACTCCCGCTCCCCCTGCACTGTCTGCGTGGAGCCTCCGAGTCGAGTGCTGTCCTGTTGTCCGGCTCCCCTCGTGCCGTGTGCACAGTTGGCTCCCCAGGTAGTGTTAGCAGTGCCGGCCGGCGCTGCAGGCGTCTCAGGACTCGGCCTGCAATTCCCAGTTCCAGGGCCAGACGACTCCTTTTGTTTCCCGGTTACCACTCAGCCTCAGTGGCTGAGCAGGGGCCCCCGTGGGGCGCACACAACACCATGTGCAGCCTCTCAGTCTGTGCACTGGCTCCGGCGAGCGTCCAGGTCTTCAGTGTGCGGTCGTCAGACCGTTGGCCTGCCTTGTGTAGGCTTTTGCTCCCTTCCTCGTACTCATTTCATTCCCTTCCCTCCCTCCTCCGCCGCTCTGACCGTGATTGTGGGTCAGCGGGCGAGGTGGGGAGCATTTTAGGCTTGGGGGCTTGAAGTGTGGGGCCTGGCAACTCCTGTTTTTAAACAAAAACCATTCTCGGTATAGTTCTTTCTTTCCTTTTCACGTACAAATGCGGTCTTTCCAGATGGATGCACGCCGCCTGCCAGAACTTGAACGCCGAAGAGGATGTAGAGGGCGCGGCCGACTCTGGCTTTGACTGTAGCATGTGCAGACCCTACGTGCCCACATCCAACGGTGAGGGAACCCGCCGGGCCGCCGGCCACTCCCGGGGAGCGGGCTTTGCGCGAATCCCTTCCTTTGGCGAAACTATGGTTTGAGCAAGTATTGCATGAAGCTTAAGTTAGTTTTATTACTCTCATTATTCCAGCTTAAAACAATTTGTTTACATAAAGTAAAATAAGCGTATCTTTCAGCTATAAAATGCAATTTTGCTTTTAAAAGTCTCAGCCGTGTGGTGGTAACAGTGCATAGAAATCCAGGACGTTGGTTCTTTAACTCGGTTTTTTAACATGTCTTGATTTCAGAGAGAGGAGGGGAGAAGGGGAGAGAGAGAGAAACATCAATGATGAGAGTCATGGGTCGGCTGCCTCCTGCACGGCCCCTACTGGGCATGCGCCCTGACTGGAAGTGAACCGCGATCTCCTGGTTCGTGGGTCGATGCTCAACCGCTGAGCCGCGCCGGCCGGGCTGGTTCTTTATCTTGATCAGTGTTTCCTCCTTACTTGTGTATTTCCTTCACCCGCATGTTTTAAAGACAGCCTTTAAACCCTGTTTAGTTTTCAAGCATTTATTTTAGGAGAATGGTCATAGGAATAGAAATTTTAATCATTTGTAATACTTTAAATATATTTCATCTTTTCCCCTCCCCCAAAAACCTGCATGACTCTCTTCTTTCACTCCAGTGCCTTCCTCAGACTGCTGCGACTCCTCCCTCGTAGCACAGATCGTCACAAAAGTGAAGGAGCTAGGTAAGGTCCGAGGGCCCTATTTGGCTGTTCTTTACAAAAAAATATAAATGTGTAATTGTTGACGCCACTGACTTTCACGTGCACATGAGACCTGGCTTAAGCATGTGGGTGCTCGGTCTAGATTCCCTAATGTTGGTAATCATTTCTACAGTTGGTATTTAAAGGCTCATCTTGCCCAGCTTTAGTCGGACAGGATTCCTGTCAGTCTCACCCCGTTGGCCATGAAATAACCGTTAACTCCGCGCTTGCTCTTTTCACTGATCTATTACTGTGCGTAGTTATCAGTGAGCAGAAAATAGGCCTCATTACAGGTGCCCTTAGCATTACCTCTGTCTATTGCTATTTCTTCTACGGCCCGTCAGCCTAGAATGGCGATGACGGTGGTGCTGTCATTCAGCTCTCCTCCTCTTGTTTACTTCTGTTTGCTGTCACCATACCCAAAAGTATCTGGATAGTTCAGAAATTGTCCTTATGAGCGGCAATTCTGTGGATTTTAAAAACTGCAGGATTTCCCCTTGTTTATACCTCCCCCTGTAAGGGATTCTACCGATGCTTTGCTTTCCAGATGCGCTTCCGGCGTTTCCTTGTTTCTCTTGTACAAATCGGTCCTCACCATTCAGTCTGACCGGACTCTCCAGGAAAAGGCTCCAGCTGAGAGGCTGAAGCTTTTGGCCTTAGTGCTTTCTTTCTAAATCCTTATGTTGACACGTGAACAAGGAAATGCCAGGGAGACGTTTATTTATTTGTTTGTTTGTTTCTTTAATTTTTTTGATTAAAAAAAAATCTTTTGTTAATTCTCAACTGAGGATATTTCTTTCCGTTGGTTTTAGAGAGAGTGGA